CGACGAGGCCGAGGAGGCTCGGCGCCTTCGGCGCCGGGCGATGCCAGGGTCAGCGGCGCGTCCGGCTCCGACGAGACCGTGGGCTCGAGGTCGGAGGGGTCCGCCTGCCCCCGCTGTCGAGGAGGAGGAGGAGGAGGAGGAGGAGGAGGAGGAGGAGGGGGAGGGGGAGGAGGAGGGGGGGAGGGGGGGGGAGGGGGAGGGGGAGGGGGGGGAGGGGGAGGGGGGAGGGGGAGGGGGGCGCGAAAAAAGGGGGTCCTCTCGGCGGCCTTTCGGCGGCCCCTCGGCGGCGTTTCGGCGGTCTTCGTCGTCGTCGTCGCCGCCGTCGTCGTCGTTGCCGTCATCCCCCTTTTTGTCGCTGCCCGCGAACCGGATGCCGTGCCCATCGCGTCCGAATCGTGGAGCATCTAATCGTAGCATGAAGAACTGGAACGCTCATGCGCATCATATGCACAGGACGGGAGATGCGCAGAGCATCGTGGATGCGGAAGGAATGACATCGACGACTCGATCATGCAACTGCAACGTCGACGACATTTGTCCTGTAAGGTACTGCACGCTGCGGCAGACTTCGTCGATGCCACACTTCCCAAACTCGTCGACGCCAACCTTCCCAACACCTAAATACGGCCTCGCTCGCGCGCGGAGAAACACGCCCGGCAAAACGGCACCAGACGAATACGCCCCCCTCTCCCTCCTCCAGTTCGTCTTGCCCCTGGTCCTCTTCGAATATCCCCCGTCCTCCTGGTTCTCCTCCTCCTCGTAATTCCCAAGCGTTTGCTAATGGAGGTCAAACTTCTGGGGATCAAACTCGGGATTGGTCCAAATCCGTTGGGAATTGGCCGCCCACTTCAGAAACTTAGAACAAATATGCATTTTCCCAGAAGCCACCCGACGGTTTCTTTGAATGTCGTGGTAATGCTTGGCAAATTGTACTTTTCTGCCCTGCTGTGTGGGTTTAGCCTCCGCAAGGTCCAGAGGGGTGTGCAAGGGAGCAGGTTGAAATAGGCAATGCGCGGGCGAATGGCATCTCCCTGGCTTGGGAGCGGAATGATGAACCAGGCTGGGCGCTGATGGGCTTGGCGCTGGTTATGCAAATCTCAGACGCTTAGACAGGAGGCGCATCTGGCCATCGCCGCCAGCCTTGAGAGCAACGGGGGCATGGCTGCCGCCTTGCGCGTGATTCGATGCGGCCCGCTCGCGGGGGAGAGCCTAACAATCTACGCGTGTCGCGTCGCGCGCGCCGCGAACAAAGCGAGTCGGCGCAGAGCGGCGAGAACGCGCGCACCGGCGTTGTTGCTTGTGGCGGCGGTCAGAATCCCGCGCGCTCGTCGCTGGGAGCTGCGGCGCGGCTTCGGTGAAATTCTAAATTATTTCAACTGGGCCCCCCTGCTGTTGCCTACCAGGGCAAGGATAATCACCTGTCTGGCCGGCGAGGCCCGCGGGGGCAAACATGGGAATGCGGGCTTTCGGCGGTGCGAAATCTTGCCCAAGGCATGCGGGAAGGCCTAATCGATCTCATAATGAATGATTATGCGTCAGCCCATGTGGGTGGAGGAGGGCAGTTCGAGAAGGGGAAAAAGCAACACAAATAAAGACAATGTCCAGATCATTGTCGAACCGAAAAAAAGCCAACAAAAAATATGTGAACCATATTGGTTGATGAGAATATGACGTTGCGCAGCAATTTCTTGTCGGGAAATCATGAACTTCTGTTGCCCGAGAAATTTGCAATCCCCTGCGGAAGGAGAAACCGCAGAACAACGCAACCGTAAACCATTCGGACCGCGCTCTGTCTCAGTCCTGGTGCTGGCTTCCCTCGGGAGTGGGATCAATGCGGACACAGGTCGAATTCATGTTCGGCGAGGGATGGGCACCACGTGGCGTCAATGACGCTGCCCCATGGATCTTGGGATCCGCGCGGGCGGCTTCAGGGCTGATGCACCTCTTGTGCCGCGAACCATGCGGGCGCCGACGCTTGCGGCATCCTCTCGTGGTCATGACAACTGTTAGCGCTTACGAAATCAAAACACTCTTCGGTGCCAGAAACGGAAATTGCGTCGATATATCAGAATCCCCTCATGGAGAAGAGCAACGCGATGGCTGTCTACTAGATCAGGAAATTACGACATCGGTCATCCTACTTGCGTTGCTGGTGATATCGGGTGCGTTGCCACGTGGCAGTGCCGGTGATACCTAAGACAATCAAGGAGAACGCTTTCTTTTAAATTCGATTGAAAACCGCATTCGGAGCGCCGCGTGCAGTTGCGAAAAAACTGAGCTCCTGATTGAAGTGATGCTGCCTTGGACGCAGGCCATTCGATGGCTGTCCAGGGCCAAGCATCCGTCGCGGTTGAGGCTCCGACGCCCTCAGATCCAATGCGTGAAGGGTCCGCCGTATTGAGCAGGTCAATGCGGGGCGGTTGCAATTCGAAGGGACGAACATGCACCACCTTGTCCAGTAAACCCGCCGTCGTGGCATGTGTGTACCCCCTACAATTGACAGGCGAACCATGGACGCGCCGTCAACCCCAGTGCACGCGAGAAGGCCGCCCAAGCTTCGTGGCGCCTGGTGCGAAGTGTGGTGCTCATACTGCGAAAGATGACCGGTCCAACGAGCTAAGGTATGTCTGTGCCAACCCCTGGTGGACAGAACCCGCACCGAAGTCGGAATGCCCCCCCCTGGAGACGGGAATACTTTGAAGGCTGTGCACAACCTGGCACGAGAGGGCACGGAGCATGCGATGTGTGCAAATGGGGAAACGCAGCCTGGGCTGCCCCAGGCACAAAGGCGGCACCGCGGCATCTTCCACAAAAGCACATGTGGTGGGCAAGTTGTGATGCGGGAAGTGATGTGACGTGCCAAAGCATTGTGTCGCCTGGGCAAGGCGTGAGGCGACGCTTCCGCTCGGCCTGACTGGGGTACGCTTGGTGCTCGGATTTTGTGTGCCACGCGTGCTGTGATTCACAGACAGGGGCATCGGTTTCTCTGTGATGCGCGGCGCCCAGACACGCAGCCTTTGCGTGACCATCATTGGCGGCCCTGCGACCGCTAAGGTGGTCCCAATGGCGATTTCCTCCCTCATCCCAGGTCTCCGGGAGAGGGGGGGAATGAAAAACGTCAACAGAAGCACGTTTCTCCTGTTGCGATGCTGGTCCACGGTCGCCGGTGCCGTGATGGTCCCCACCTGGTTCTCTGCCCATGAAAACTGTTCATGCGGGCAAGGGCGCGCAAGAGTCTGGGATCTCCAGCAAAGGGCCCTGGCTCGCGGTGAATGTTGAACTCCTCCACCTTCACTTCACTTAGGTCGGGCATGTCCCCCTACAAGGGGATTTCGGACGAAATGAATATTCCCAAATACTTCCAAATGGTCAAAAATAGTCAAACATATTTTTTCAGCGCGAACACCTGATGATGAAAATTGCAAGCTTCCCAAGTGATGGGAAGAGGACTCCACCATGTAGGCAAAGAGAAGGCGGTCGGGACCGAATCCCGAGCAGTGCAAAGTGGTGGCCAGGCCCACCCGTTCGTGTGACGACGCAGAGACCCAAAACAGCAAGAGGACAGGCAGGCGGAGCAGAGAGGACGGAACGGCGGGGAAGGCCGAGGGGCCAGGCAGAGAGACATACAGCAGCTGTTTAGCGAACCTGACCCTGGCCTAGGAGGCGGCAGTCTACCCAGAAACTTGAACAACACATGTACTGGCAATGCGCGAGCAGCTCAACCTGAGGCACTCTCGCACAAGGAATTGGACTGCAGATTGCCGCGTCCATGCCACTAAAACCTCGAAATCGGTACGGCTATCTTGCGCCAGTCGATGGCGCCTCAACGGGTAGATGGGAGAGGAGGGGAAGGGAGGAGAAGAAGTAATGACATAATGACTCAAGGACAGTACTATAGAAAGTTGGGCGCACGCACTCGCCAACGAATGTAAACTAATATTGATGGAAATCTGAAGCTGAAAGGTGCCGCCCCGCCCCAACACCTTTTGGCGCAGTGGGCACGCAGGCCGTGAAATGGCAGATGGAACGAGCCCAAAACCTCGGGGCCCTGAGGTCGGCCGATCGCGGCCGCAAGGCCGTCAACGTGCGCCGCGCGCGCATGCAGCTGGCGAAAATCGCCAATTCCCTGGCACGGGGGGCCAGGGGGGGAAGGGAAAGAGGAGAAGAAGGAAGGGAAAGGAAAAGAATCGCCCAATCAATCTTGCGCGCCCCCGGCTACATGCTAACTCCGCCGAACCGGTCTGGATTGCAGACGTCAGGACTCCCAGGAAACAGCCTGCCGACAACCACGCGCCCACGGCTTCAGCTGGCACCTTCGAGCCGGCTGGGACTGCCAGATTCTGCGGCTCCACAAAGGAAGGGGGAAGGGAGGGAGGGAGGGAGGGAGGGACAACGACGGCGGACGACGGAGGGGAGGAAGGAGAAAGGGGAGCGGCCTGCCCAAAACGGCGCGCCCGCGGCTCCAGCTGGCACCGTCCAGCCGGCCGGGGCTGCAAGAATCTGCGGCTCCACGAGGGAGGGAGGAGAGAGGGAGGGAGGGACACCGACGGCGGCCGACGGAGGGGAGGAAGGAGGAGGGCAAGCGGCCTGCTAACAGCGGCGGGCCACGGCTCCAGCTGGCACCCTCCAGCTGGCCGTGACAGCAAGAATCTGTGGTTCCATGGAGGAAAGAGGGGAAGGAGGGAACGACACCGACGGCGGACGACGGAGGGGAAAAAGGAGGAAGGGAAACAGCCTGCCCGAAGCGGCGCGCCCACGGCTCCAGCTGGTACCCCCCAGCCTGCCGGGACTGCAAGAGATTCTGCGCGCCCACAGAGGACGAGGGAAGGGGAAGGGAGGGAGGGAGGGAGGGAGGGAGGGACAACGACGGCGGACGACGGAGGGGAGGAAGGAGGAGGGGAGACAGCCTGGGAGCAAAAACTCGAATTCACCAGACATGTGGTCGTTCAGCAATGGGAGAAAGAGAAGAAGAGAGGAGAAGGCATTGCTACTGCGCACCGCTAACTCAGGCCCCCCTTCTGCGCCGCGTCGTACACCCGAGCCGCCCGGCGATGGCCACGGACGGCTTCCCGCAGAGCCTGCCGCATGGTTTCCGCCGCGGCGGGGCCGCGGCGAAGGCGGCCGTGCCGGCAGAGGCAATGTGCCTTGTAGATCGCGGCCGTTCGCAGGGCCGTGAGGACCGCCGTGTCGGGGTCGTCCAGCACTCCGAAATCCAACCCGAAGAAATTCGCCAGGCGGGCCCCCGGCGTCCCCAGCGGCTGCAGCCCGAGCTCCGCCATGCCCACCTCGTGCACGCAGCGGCAGTCGGCGTAGTGCTCCAGCGAGTCGGGCGCATCCACTGCGCAGTCAAAGACGCAGCCGGGAAGGCCCTCGCGGCCCTGAGTGCGACGGGCTGTCGGCCACCCGTTCCACATGGCTCTCCAAACCGCTGCCCACACTCGAAGCGGAACCCTCTTGCCCAGGGTTTGGAGGTAGTGCATGCCATGCGCTGAGCGCACCTGCAGGGGCAACTCCACCTGCCAACGGCCCAGCTTGTGCTGGACGCGGGGCTCCAGATTTCCTTGCTGCGCCTCCTGTATCCACGCTGCGGCCTGGCGCTGGAGCTGCCGACGGACGCGTCGATCCTGTGCCTGCGTGAGCGGCCTCGGGACAAAACCCCCCAAGATGCGTGACTCCACTCTTGCAGCGGTGACACCGAGTCCTCTTGCCACTTCCACAGCGTTGTCCAGCTGGAGGAGAAAAGCCCTGTCGAACCAGTCAGCCCACGCTGCGGACACGACGATATTGTCCGTGTTGCGACGGCACTCGCGAAGCCGAGCCGCCCTTCGACGGACGTCGAGGCCACCCGATGCCCGCGCCTCCAGATGCGCGACGCGCAACTTAGCCGCTAATTGCCGCGACTGCATGTCCACGAAGCCGCGCGGGAAGCCGAGGCGGTGAAGCTGCCGAAGGTCCGCGGGAGAAGCCCACAGCAAGGAGCCAGGGACAAGCAAACCGAAAGCCCTCGCCTCGACCTGCTCCCAGTTGGGCGGCAACGAATCCAATTGCGACACGAAGCTCGCGACCGACGCAACGTACGTGGTGTACGCGATGGTGGTGAGATACAAACCGCCTCCGGCCGCCCCCCACCAGCGCGCCCGCTCTTCCAGCTTGGTCAGAGGCCTTGTAAAGGCGGCGTGGCCGCGACCTGGCCCCAGCTCGAAACCCAAGTACTGGGCGTGCGAAGCAACGCGAATTCCTCCCCATCCGGGCTGCATCTGTAGCAAGTCTTGAAGAACTGTGTCAGGGCTTGCCAAGAACAAGGGGACCAAGTACGTCTTGGGCATGTTGAGATGGAGGCCTGATAGGCGGCCGAATTCCGCGAAGAGCCGATGAAGGACTGGAGCTGCAGACCGCATGTCCGGGGCCACTGCGGCCACGTCGTCGGCAAAGGCCCGCGAAATCAGGTTTGGCAGCTGCCGCCGCATGCGCCGGAGCAAAATGTCCATTGCCACGGCAAACAATATCGGCGACAACGGGCACCCTTGGCGGATACCTGCCCGCGCCTCGGAACCCTCGTGAATTGCCCCGCCCACCACCAGGCGGCAACGGTTGTTCCGGTACAGGAGGCGAACGAATCGCAGGAACCACTCCGGAAGACCCGCCGCGGCGAGCACCCGCAGCAGAAAGGCGTGTGCGACACTGGGGAAAGCGGCCTGGAAGTCGAAGAACCAGGCCGCCCCAGCGTCACCTTCCAGTGCTGCCCGCTGCGTGGCTTCGTCCACATCCACCACGTTGGACAAGGTGGAACGGCCTGGCACGAAGCCTCGCTGGTCCGTGGATATGACCTGCGCCAGGGGCTCCTCCACGCATGCTCTGACCGCGCTTGCAAGCAGCCGGTTGTGACAGTTAGCGACGTTCAGCGGCCTCGTGTCTGCTGGGCGGTGGCCTGCTCCTTCGGGTGTCACCGAGCCTGAGCCTTTCGGCAAGAAGACCATCAAGCTGGCGTTGAACGTGTCCATGAAGCACTCCAGGCCCGCTGGTTCGCCACCCGACACCAGGTCCTGCAAGGCGGCCCACAACACATCTACCGCTAGGGGCCCAAACCGTCTCCAGGCTGCACAAGGGATGCCGTCAGGCCCTGGGGCAGAGTTTGGCGAGTGCTTCAACGCGTGCTCGACGTGTCGACGATGAAGGCGCCACTGCGGCGCGGAATCCGGCGGCGCCCTGGGAGGCGAACCCTCGGCCACCCACTGCTCCAGCAATGCCTGGTCAACTGGCCGCTCGGAGAAAACCCCGGCACAGTGTGTGCGGAGGGCAGCGGCCATTGCACCCGGCGCGGTGAGCACCTCGCCCGCCGGACCAACCACCCCCGCCAGGCTCGTCGAACGGCCTGGCGAGAGGCGCGACAACGCGCGGTGGATGCGACCACGGCGTGCCTGCGCGTCTGCCTCGGCCAGCGTGGGCAGCTGGTCGCGTAGGTCGGTGAGCTCCTCCACAGCAGCGTCGCGGGCCAACTCCAAGACCAGGCTGCGGAAGGGATCCAGGGCGGCGCCCTTGCACCCAGCGCGCTTCAAGGGCGACGGCGCAACAGAGCGGAGACGCGGCAAAGACTGCAGGCATCGTTGCATCCCCAGACTATGTTTTAACTATGTTTGAATATTCCTCCTGCAGAGGGACAGGGCCGACTTAAACCTTCACCCCCTCTTGTTTTTTTGTTGGCCCGCTCTCCGCTGCGACCCGGCGCCAGTCGATGGTCCAAGTCCTTCTCCACCTCCTCCTGTTGCCTGTGCTCCTCCCCCGCCGCCTCCCTCCTCGCCCAATCCCACTCCCCACCATGCTTTCCCCTGTTCTTATTCCTCCACCTCCCTCTCTGCCGCCCTCCTCGGCTCCTGCTCATGGCCCTCCTCCTTTTTTGTTTTACCTCCTTCTCCTCCTCCTCCTCCTCTTCCTCCTCCTCCTCCTGCTTCTCCTCCCAATTCCCAAATCTTTCTCATTCGCCACCCAGCTCCCGTCGCGTTCCACCCGCCCGCCTGCTTATCGACCCCACTGGTCTGCGCTGTGCTGGACGTCGCAGACACCTGGGGTCAGCTGGAAACACCCGGGGATAAGCAGGAAACACACACGAATATGATGACAGGAGAAGGAGCAACAGCCTGTCTCGGACTCGGCGGATGCGCGGGCTGGTGGGAGCAAGCGCTGTGCCACAGCGAACCGACTTGCGCACAGAGGAACCCGATGAGTGGGTCAACTGGAGCAGAGACAGGAGCAGGAGGCGGAGGAGAATAGGCACGACACGGGGTACGGGCCGGTACGGGCAGGACGAAGGCGACGATCGGCAACAATAGAGGGGCAGAGTGGAACCGGCAACGGCGGAAGCAACAACAAACGAACAGGCATCGCAATATCATCAGCAACAGGGTCGGGATGAGGCCAGGGAAAAATAACGAGAAGGGGGAGGACAGATGGAGGGCCAGGGTAAAGGCGGGATTGAGAAACGCGACGACGAACGCCTAAACAAAAAAACATCTGTCTGAAACACGTACGTACATACTCCGACTTACATTGGATATTCGGGGTCGTCCGACTTACATTGGATATTCGGGGTCAGCCCCCCCCCCGCCCGAGTAACCAATACTTTTTTGTGAGCTGTGACTACTTATGTACCTACGTCCGATGCGCGAAAGGACGAACGCGACAAGGAGCAGCAGGCGGAGGATGAGGAACAGCAACAAGCGGTGGATGAGGAACAGGAGGACGATGAGAGATGGGGAGAAGAAACACCTGGACGAGGATGGCAAGCTGCACGAACAAAAAAAATCGGCATGGCGAAGAGGGATGCTGACGCGGAGGGAAACCATGTGGACGGGAACGGGGCGGAGGAGGACGGCCGAGGTGCCCCGTCCCACTTCGGCGAGTGAGCTCGGCGCCGCACTGGACGACGATGGCACAGAGGTGGCTGCTCGCCAGCACCGCCCCCCATTTTCCCGTCCGTTCGGGAACTGCTCGGCGGCCGCGCCAGAGTCTGGGCCGACCTGCCTGCTCGAGGACGCCCTGCAACCCTGCGAAAGCGCGGCCGAAGGCGTCGAGAACGACTGGCACGGAATACCCTCGGCGTCGCGCGCTCCTTTGGGAGCCCTGGGGCCCTCCGGAACCAGCAGCGCCCTCAACACCCGTGCGCCCACTGTGGGGCCGGTACCGCGTCACGCAGCAAGCGTCGGCGTCAGGAAATCGCGCCCACATTCGCTGACGAGTGAACAGAGGCGGCTACTCGCCCGCAGCGCCCTCCACACCCGCGCGCCCGTTGTGGGGCCCAGAAACGCGTCACGCAGACAGCTTCGGCGTCAGGAAGCCGCGCTGGCGCCGGGTAAACATTTGTGTTTTTGCGGAACAACGCTGCGTGCGGAGGCAAGACCCGCTCGTCTTCACGTGCTGCCCTCAGGGCTTTCTGAAGGTTGAACGATTGGAGGGTACTACTGGTTCAAGGGGGGAGCACCGACCTGGAATCGGCGATGCATCGCCGAGATGCCGGCGATGGCCCCCTATAACGACTCCGACCGCCCTATCGGCGAAAATCGATGCGCCCCCCTGGGCATATCCCCCCTGACGCTGCTCTTGCCTCTTCCCGCCGCAGGCGTATAGCGGCCCGCTGTCCCCAAGTCTTGCCCGCGTGCGTCTTGACGCATCATGCTCGGGCAGGGAGGCACCGCTCGGGGCGGCGCCAGGAGACGGCGACACAGGGGGTACAGGAGGCCACGACGAAGAGCGACGGTGACATCTCTGCGCGGGGCCTTGGAGCCCTTGGAGGACAGCTGCTCTACGACCAGCTCCGGGCCACGGAGATCCTGTGCGGGACGGAGGGAGGAATAATGACCTGATCGGACAAGATTTGGAAATGCCGATTTTGTCCATTGGGCTCGTAAAGACGATCGTCACGACAAGGCGGCTGATGACGAGCGATGCGAGCAGTAGAACGACCAGGAAGGCAAACGCGAGGACGAGGAACATATGAAGATGAGGAACAGAAAGACGACGACGAACGAGGACGGCAAGAAACTCGAGGAAAAGGGCGTCGAATGAAGGGGTCCTCGTGTTCTTTGAAGCTACCTTGGGCGTTGTCGGGGCCATCTGGGGCATCTTGGGGCATCTTGTGGGCCTGTTGGGGGCCCGTCGGGGCCTCTTGGGGGCCTACTGTGGTCCTCTTTGGCTCTGGGCGTGGTTTTGGGCTGTGCGAGGACTCTCTGAGACCGTCTTGGTGCCATCTTGACCTATCGTGGCCCGTATGGGGCCTCCTGAGGTTTTCTCGGGGCCCCTCTTTAGGTCCTCTCGGGGGCCTTTGGGCGCTTTTGTGGGCCACGATGGGCCCCTCCAAAAACGATTCCAAAACGATGTTGAATCGGAACCACACTTTCAAATCCCCCCGAGAGAGACGGCACTCTCCCACCAAAACAGCCAACGATGTGTGGAAAACGGCCAGCATCCTATAGTCAAAGCAAATTCGACCAATTACAAACGGTCCACGGTCGAGGCTTTTTCTGATATCGCAACCCCGAACGAATAGGTATCGCGAGAATTCGCGTGGCCTGCCTCGCAGGGCCACCACCCTCCGTTGGCGAACTTCGCACGTCAGCTTCCAGCCCTCTGGTGGCCGTGAAGCTGGTGGTGAGCCAAAATTCAATTCAGCGCATCAAAGTCAAACTCTTCGAACGTGGCAGGTGCTCAGCGATGACCGCCACCGAGCCGAGCAACTGCCTCAGTCTTCTTCGCACTTGTACTGCCAATTACTTTCGGTTAGAAGGCACGCTCCTTAGCCAAACGAGTGGCCGTGGAGCGGGGGGCGTGGTCATCGACGATCGTGGGCCCTACTCACACTTGCCGCTTCAAGGCGAGCCTCGGTAAGCGGATGGCCTAGTTCACATGGCGGTGCCGATCTGCCGCTTGGGCCGGTCGGACACTGCCCTGCTTCTCCACCGTCTGGCATTCCGTCATGACGCTCCGCGCGACAGGGAACGACTCCGTCATGGGGCCCATCTCGCCAGCCGATTCCTCCTTCTCCTACGCCGCACCCCACTTGGCAACGGCGGCCCCGAATGTGTCCGAGTCCAGGGGGCGGCGCGCTTCTGCAACGGGTGCCCGCACGGGAATGCGCGCACTGGTCTGGGTGCACCGGCGTCGGGGGCCCACAAGCCACTGCGAATGATGAGAAAGCTGACGAACTCCACCATGTGAGGCACGACTGTAGGGTCGTCTCCCCCCTTCTAAACGGAAGCGTCGCACGGTGGTCCATCAAACAGCCAACCCACTCAACAATGGAAATGTCCCACCAGGCGCCGCAATTCCAAAAATGGCACCGATGCGCAGCAACCGCGCCTGCTTGCGAACCAGGGTATCACATGCAGCGTACGTGCTTGGTCTTCCGTTGGCACCGCTGACAAGGGCAATGCAATCGATCCTCGTCTCCCCTTGGTCGTCGTGGCTGCTCCATGTGGTATCAAGCCAATGAGAAAAGCCGGAAGTGTTGAAGGCCCCAAAATCGCCTAGTGAGAGGGTTCTTAATATAGCCGTCGCCCGTTCTCCGCCCATGTGAATTCATGGCTGCTGAGCACGCTGGCCAAGCCACCTTCAAAAGGGGGCTGAGCCATGCCAGCATGGCTGACGGGGGCGAGCATCACTGAACATCGTGAAGGATTGAAATTCGTCGCCCTGCTGAGTGTATCGACGGATTCGCCCGCGTCGCACATGCGCGCAGTCATCGAGCAAATTTGAAGAACAAAAACTAACAACTGGAAGGTGGCCAGCCAGCACGTGGAAATCGATAGGGCTGCCACGAAAGATTCGAAGCCCCTCATGTCCCCCAACCTGCCATCTGGAATTGGCTTTGATGCCGCGCCGCAACGCAAGTTCTTCAGGTGCAGTGGCAGCAACACGACACTGTCCTTACGAAAGCGAGATGAATGTAGCAATGCAGAGGGGATGCAGTGATCGATCTTCCACTGGTGTTCAATAGTCAACGTCGTGTCCAAAAGAGCCAGTGCGTCGACCCAAACGGCAAGAGCACGTCGGACAACTTCGTCGACTCGTCCTAATACGAGGGGTGCCCTCGCGGTGTAAATCCACGCCTCCAGATTCCATGGAACTGCGCGAGAAGAACTGACGGGAAGAGGATGACACCACTACGTGGACCCAGTCTAGATTGCTTCGCCACTGCGTCCTGCCCCTCGTGGCACTCGCCCTTGAACCAAACCCGCCCTCTGACGATAATGATGCGAAAGACACGATGGTAACACTTGGTGCTGTGCGCTACCTCGTCTCAGTGAATATGTTTCTTGCAATTCTCGAGGCTCTAGGGGGGTCGTGACCCCCCCCGCTCGGCTCTCCAGCACGACGATAGTTGCTCGTAGGCGATGGCGCGCGCAGGGAGGCGTGGGACACATGACTTTGCCATCGCTGACTGCTCGGGCTTGCGACCCCGCGGGCTCTTGAGGTCCTGAATGTCGCCTGAAACGACTCGAGCCACAACCTTCCAGGGGCGCTTCCCGTCATCCGCCACCGTGTATGCACGGAGTGGGCGCGTTATACTGTGTTCTGTTGTCTGGTGCGTTTGCCCATGTCTTCGAAAGTCAGCCCGTTCCCTCGAGCCGCGCTCCTCTTGAACACCGCCACCTTTCTCCAGCGCCGATCGTGGGCCATTCCATATCATCTTACATATTTGTAACAAAAGAAGAGGACAGGCCACCCAAGGAGGTTAAAGCAGGACCCCCGAGAGGGGGTCAAAACAAGCCCCCCCCTGAAGGGCGACAGAGAGCCTCCAAAGGCCCCCCAACAAAACCCTCATGAGGCCCCCAAGCGACCCCCAAAAGGCCCGCTGACCCCGAAGACGCCCTGAAGACAGCCAAGAGGACCCCGAGTTCCTTCCGTATTCCTCCTTCCCTTCTTCTCCTCATCCTCCTCCTTTTCCTCCTCCCTCTCCTCCTCCTCCTCCTCCTCCTCCTCCTCCTCCTCCTCCTCCTTCTCCCCCCTCTTCCCCCTTCACCCCATTCCTCACCATTCCTCTCAACCTCGTCCTACTCCTCCTCCTTCCCCTCTTCCTCCACTTCTGATCCCTCTCCTCCCCCTTCGTGGAGGCGCTCCTTGGGCAGCTCGTCCTCGTATGCCGGCTCGATGCCTGCGGACCAGGGAGAGGAGGGGAAGGGGTCCACGGGGCACGGGAGGAGGGGGCGCGGGATCGCACGCCACTGAGGGGAAGAGGGAGAGAGAGAGAGTCCGACGGCTCAAGCAAAACCACCCAGGTGGCCCATCTTGAAGGGAAACTTGGACACACAAATAAATACACACAAATAAAACGATTCCCCATATTTTCATATATTTTCTGGGTTTTTGTCTTCCCCACCACTTCCCATATTTTTGCATATTTTCCTGGGAGTCGACGATTAATTGTGTCTGTGTGTTTCTTTCCCTCCTGACATCTGCGTGGACCTTTCTGTCACCCTGCGGGGTGGCTGGGACTGGCCGCCCCGCAGGCCAGCCACGGGGCCCCCCTGGGCGGACGAGGCGCGGGCATCGGGGGGGGGGGGGACGGCGGGAGGTGGCGGAAGGCGCAGCAGGAAAACGAGGAGAAGGGAACGGGAGCCAGGGAGGGGGGCTGATCGTTGACTATTCCTCACCCTGAATACCCACTTGCACGTTATCATCCTTGTCCTCCTCTTCCTCCTCCTGCGCGCCCTCCTCCTCCCCCGCCCTTTCCTGCCTGCTTCCCGCAGTCCTGCCCCGCCTCCCTCTCCCTTCCGCCGCCCCCCACCCTGGCGGCGAGCCCGGTGGGGAAGTGAGAGGCGGCGGGCCTTCTGACCAGCCTCTCGCAACTTCTGAGAAGCTCTCTTGAGCCCTCTCCGAAGACGGGGGCGGCTTCTCAGAGGCGCGAGGGCCTCTGAGAAGCCCCGCCGCCTTCTGAGAAGGCCTGCCCCCCGTCACTTCCCCACCGGGCTCGCCGCCAGGGTGGGGGGCGGGGCAGGACTGCGGGAAGCAGGCAGGAAAGGGCGGGGGAGGAGGAGGGCGCGTCAACGATCAGGATGATCCGGAAGAGAAGGCGGACGGGGAAGGACGAGGGATATGTATAAGATAGAGGCGATGACGTGAATGAGGAGAGTGCACATGGAAAGGTCGATGGATGGGTGGAGTGCGCGAGAGAGAGGAACCACATAAAAAACGTGTACATGCATCCTGGGAGTGCACACCATGCCAGGGTCATCCTGTGTCTTGGCATGGTGTACGCGCCGAGGTAGCAATGAGACCCTGACTCGCACTGCGCTCCCACACGAGGCGGAGGCTGGTGGCGTCGGTCGCCGCGCTCGGCGGCTGCGAGGCCGAGTCCGTGAGCCTCGGCGGCCAGCTGCGGACGGCGGTGCAGCTCGCGGGCGGTCACCAAGGCGGGTGCACGTCTGCGCTGAAGACCGCTCTCGAGCCGCATCCAGAAAGCACAGGATAAGCAACGAGCGCTGCATACATCGATCCTGCACTCATCTGTACGTGCGTACGGTCATCGTGCTTCCATAAGGCACGCTAGGTAGGGAGCGAAGGGACTTGCTCAGCCACGGAGGGGCTCGGCCACGAGCATGTCCCCAGACCCAGACCGAAGGAACGGCCCGACACCCGGGGCCCCTCCCGAACGCGAAGTGGTCATCGTATCAGCGTCTTGGTCGGTGCGCACTCACTCTTCTGCGCAACTCTCGGCGTGACATCCAGTAGGCACGGCCCGACCACGCAGCGCTACGTTCGTGCAGCCATGCTGAGTGCCCTGGCGGCAGATATGCGCGGCAGCGCATGTGATCGTTGGCCCTCCACCAGACCATGCTTCCTCTCCAGCTGGCCTCCCTCGTCCAGCTTCTTCCAGATTCTCCCTTCTGCATCGTGCTACAGATTCTGTCGTCCCCTTCCACCTTCTGCTCCTCCTTCCTCCTGCTCTCCTCCTCTAGACAACAATCGCCCTTACCCTCCTCCAGATCCAGCAAATCTTCTCGCTCCCATGGGAAGAGGGCGCGGGGGAAGAGGAGGATGATGACGATGATGACAATAATGACAACGGCAGTGACGAGGATGAGGAAGGTTAGAAAGGCGTCAGGCTACGTGCAGACGGCCCACCCAAATAATCCCAGCTGTGCTCAACAACCCCCCCGAGTAGTCGAGTGCGGTCTCAACACGTCAACACATGTCCGGGACGCCGGGGTGCTGAGGCCGCCCCAGTTTCTTCGGGGGCCCTGTTGAAGCAAACCGAGACTACCTGGAATGGGAGGGCTGTCTGTGCGCAACCCGAAGCCTTACCATGACGACAACCATCATGAGGATGAAGGACTATCCCCTACGCCTGCAAGTCTCTGGGGAGTTTCGTGAAGGCTTCCGAGGGCCTCCGAAAGCCTCTGGGGATATGCAGAGGCCCGACGAGGGCCAGTACCGCCCAAGGCAGTGGATCACGAGGAGGGGGAAAGGAAGAGGACCTTCGCGGAACACGCAAACGCACATAAACATAGATGTTCGGAGGTCCGTTCGGATTTCGTGGATGGGAATGGGACCCAACGTTTTACCTCTTGGAGACAAGGGAGGGGATAGGAAGAAGGTGCCGACAGATATTAAGAGTGGGGGGGAGAACGATAAGGATGATGAGGATAATGATAATACTGATGATGATCATGAGATGGCCACGGGGATGGATATAGAGGTGATGATCATGATGATGCTGATGAGGATGATGAATATGCTGATCCTGATGATGGTGGTCATGCTGATGGTGGCGAAGCTGTTGATGAGGACAATGATGATGCTGATGATGCTGATCCTGATGATGATGGCTGCTGGTGCTGCTGCTATGGTGCTGCTGCTGCTGATGTTGCTGCTGGTGGTGATGATGGTGATAATAATGATGACAATGACGGTGACATGATGATGGTGGTGATGATGATGGTGATGATGATGCTGCTGATGCTGATGCTGCTGTTGCTGCTGATGCTGCTGATGCTGATTTTGAGTCTGATCACGACGACGATTATGATGCTGTTGTTGATGGTCATGGGTGATGATGGTGGTGGTGGTGATGACGATTATGACGACGATACTAATGTTGATGCTGCTGCTCCTGCTCATGGTGATACTGATTCTTGGGACGACCTCTGGCGTCTGCTCTATACGCCGGCCGCTCAGCCGACGTCATCCTCCTCGAAGCTGAGCCGCTGCCTCTTCGCCGCGGCGGGCCTCGCGGCTCCCCCGCCGCTGGCCCTCAGCGGCGGCCCCGTGCCGCCGCTCGGCGGCGCTGTCTTCCTGCTGCCGTCGGAGTCGGCTGAGGCGTCCCCCAGAGGCACGGCCGCCTGCACCAGCATTGCTGCCGCCGCTTCCTCCTCCTCGTCCTCCTCCTGACCTCCTCCTCCACCTCCTCCTGCTCCTCCTCCCCCTCCCCCTCCTCTTCATCCTCCTCCTCCTCCTCCTCCTCCTCCTCTTCCTCCTCCTCCTCCGCCGTCTGGATGCCGGTGCCCCTGAGCGTGGGGCGTCGCCGTCGCCGGAAGCCGGTCCCTCCGCGTCGCCGTCCCCCGTGCAGGCGCCGGTGCCGCCGCCGCCGGGCGAGGGGCGGGCGGCTCACTTGGCACAGGCACGACGCCCACGAGCTGCTCATCCACGCCCATGACGGGCGACTCGCCTGCCGCGGGGTTGCAAGGCCAAGGATGGTCACCATTACGGGGGTCGCTACCTCATCCTGGAAACTCAGGGCTGAGGAGCTGTGGGCACAGAGAGGATCGAGGAGGTCTTGGACGCTCTTGGGGCGCCTTCGGGAGTTCAAGGGGGGCTGGTTCTGAGTGGTCCAGGGGGTCCAGGGGGGCCCGATTCCTGGATCGAGGGAGAACACGTGCATAAACATTAACTTTCGGAGGTCCGCGAAGATTTCTTGGATCCGTGCTGGACCCCGCTCCATGACGCGCGGGGCGCAGCAGGGGCGGCGCCGGATGCGCCGCCGTGGTGATCTCGGAATCCCAATCGATCTCATCGTGCGGTCCGTCACCGCTCGGTCTTGGGACCCTAGAGGCTCCGATCGCCCGAGACGTCCTCGGAGAGCGAAACGAATCGTAAAACCGTGCGGTGATCCCGAATCCCCACTGGCTCACCACGCGGTGTCATCACCGCACCGTTTGGAGGCCCCCGAATTTTGTTGCTCGGGGGGGATCGGGGAACAAACGATGACATAAAACATAAACTGTCGGAGGTCCACGCGGATTTTTGGGAACGGCGCTCGACGCCCATCCCTGGCGTGCGGAGCGCGTCAGGGGCGGCGCCGGAGTTGCTGCTGGTGGGGGGCCCAGCGCGTATCCAAGAAATCCGCGCGGAACGCCGAAAGTTCGCTGTTATGCCAAAGGGGGGGCTCCAGCACCGATCCACGAAATCCACGAGGACCTCCGAAAGCTTAACACAGTGCCCCTGGGAAAAAAAACCCTGGGAATCAAATTCGCACGGGTCGCCAAATGTACAGAGTGTCGATCGGACACTTTCGGGCGATAGTAGAACCTGGAGTAAAAAAGCGTTTGCCCGTAGGGGCGGTAGTAGCAGTGGTGGCAGTAGCAGTAGCAGTAGCAGTTGTCGTAGTAGTAGTAGTAGTAGTAGTAGTAGTAGTAGTAATAGTAGTAGTAGTAGTAGTAGTAGTAGTAGTAGTAGTCGTGGTAAGAGTAGTAGTAGTAGTAGTAGTAGTAGTAGTAGTAGTAGTAGTAGTAGCAGTAGTAGTAGTAGTAGTAGTAGTAGTAGTAGTAGAAGTAGTAGTAGTAGTGGTAGTAGTAGTAGTAATAGTAGTAGTAGTAGTAGTAGTAGTAGTAGTAGTAGTGCAAGTAGTAGTAGTAGTAGTAGTAGTAGTAGTAGTAGTAGTAGTAGTAGTAGCAGTAGTAGTAGTGGTCGTAGTAGTAGCCAGACTAGAAAAATAGTAGTAAAGTAGTAATAGCTAGTAGTAGTATAGTAGTAGTAGTAGTAGTAGTAGTAGTAGTAGTAGTAGTAGTAGTAGTAGTAGTAGTCGTAGTCGTAGTCGTAGTAGTCGTAGTCGTAGTATAGTAGTAGTAGTAGTAGTAGTAGTAGTAGTAGTAGTAGTAGTAGTAGTAGTAGTAGTAGTAGTAGTAGTAGTAGTAGTAGTAGTAGTAGTAGTAGTAGTAGTAGTAGTAGTAGTAGTAGTAGTAGTAGTAGTAGTAGTAGTAGTAGTAGTAGTAGTAGTAGTAGTAGTAGTAGTAGTAGTTCGTAGTAGTAGTAGTAGTAGTAGTAGTAGTAGTAGTAGTGGTAGTAGTAGTGGTAGTAGTAGTAGTAGTAGTCGTAGTCGTAGTAGTAATAGTAGTAGTAGTAGTAGTAGTAGTAGTAGTCGTGGTAGTCGTAATAGTAGTCGTAGGTAGTAATAGTCGTAGAAGTACAAATAATGATCATTCAAATATAGGTCTAGTCGACACGTATATAAAGGATGCGCGATAAGGATGCAAGGGCGTTGGACGCACATTTCGAAACTTTTCGAACGGAGCGCGGCCAGCGAAAGCGGCGAAGGATGGACCAATGAGGCAATGATGCCAAGGTAACCTTGGGAAGGTCGGCCATCCTTACTATGCGGGCTGACTGTAGAAGTAATCGTGGAAGTAGCAACATAGTAATAATAATAATGTAGTAGCCATAATAATCTTAATATAAGTAATATACATATACGTAATATTGGACAAAACTCGTGGGAATGTTGTAAATAGTAGTAGTGGTCGTGTTGTAAGCAGTAGTAGTAAATAAGATTATAGTGGTAGCCGTAACCGTAGTAGTAGTACTGGTGTTAATAGAGGTAGTAGAAGGAGTAGTGGTGGTAGTAGTCATCGTAGTAGTAATAGAAGTACTCGTAGTGGCAGTAGTCGGAAGTGAGGGGGTGAGATCGAAGTGGAACGGGAAACCCCCCTACCGGGACATCGATTTCGGTTTCGTGTTCGTGCGTGCCGTGCGTGCGGGCGAGGCGAAGCTGCGTGGGCGGGCGAGAAGAAAGTCTCCTGTGGCTGAGGCGCGGCCGGACCAAATGTCTCCCTTCCGGGCGGCCGGTGGCCCGCGGTGTCCCGCCGGTGTCCCGCTGGTGTCCCGTGTGGCTGAGGCGCGGCCGGACCAAATGTCTCCCTTCCGGGCGGCCGGTGGCCCGCGGTGTCCCGCCGGTGTCCCGCGGTGTCCCGCGGTGTCCCGCGGTGGCCCGCGGTGTCCCGCCGGTGTCCCGCGGTGTCCCGCGATGGTGATGATGATGATGTTGATGATGAGATGATGATGATGATGATGATGATGATGATGGTGATGCTGATGATGATGCTGCTGATGAACTGATGCGAATGTTGATGCTGATGGTGATGGTGATGCTGATGATGATGATGCTGATGATGATGAGGACGATGCTGCTGATGATGATGATCGAGTGAGATCGAGTGTGAGATAAATCGAGTGAGATCGAGTGGGATCGATTGTGAGATCGATTGTGAGATCGATCGAGGGAGATCGATCGAGCGAGACCGATACTGAGATCGATCGTGGGATCGATAGTGAGACCGATCGAGTGAGACGTTGGTTCCTCCCCCCCCCGAACCTCCTTATCACCCGAAGGGTGGCCGTATAGGTAGGAGTATGAGTACAAGTACTAGTGATGTTAGTAGTAATAGAAGTGATGGTAGTAGTAGTCGTGGGAGTAGTAGTATGAGTAGTCGTCGTACACATAGTAATACTAGTAGTCGTAGTCATGGACGTCGCAATGGTAGTCGTAGTTGTAGAAGAAGTAGTCGCAGGAGCCGTACATGTTGAGCCGTAGAAACTTCAATCGCCAAACTAGCAGTAGTAGTAGCAGTAGTAATAGAGGCAGTGGTAGGTGGAACGGTAGTAGCAGTAGAGATGAAATGCGTTGCGAAAAATGATACTAGTCGTAAGCGTGGTACCATTTCAAGGCAGCGTGGTCGTAGAAGTAGTAGTGGTAGAAGTGGTCGTATGTCGTCGTAGTAGTGATGGTCGCGGTAAGAATAGGAGTAGCTGTAGAAGTCGCAGCAGTAATAAGAATAGTAACCGTAATACAGAAGACCTATAGTAGTGGTAGCATCAGTAGCCGTAGTAGCAACAATAATAGTACGGACAGTAGTAATAGTGATAGTCGTGGTAGTAGTCTTCGGAAGAGTACTGCTGATCGTGATCGTAGAACTAGGGGCAAGAACTAATAGTAGCAGCACAAATGTTACTTGTAGTACTAGTAGGACTCGCATTTTTTAAAAGAAGAAGAAGAAGTAGTAGTAGTTGGAGTGGTAGAAGCCGCTGTAGTAGTAGTAGTAGTCGTAGTAGTAGAAGTAGTAGTAGTAGTAGTAGTAGTCGTAGTCGTCGTAGCAATAATAAGGACTGCGGTGGTACTAATCGCAGTACTCGTATAATTGGCAGTCGCGTTAATAGTCGTTGTAATAGCCATGGTAGTATCAATGATACAAATACTAGTCGAGGTCGTCGTCGTAAGAGTACTATTAGGAGCACTCGTGGAAAAACATAGAAGTCGTAGTGATAGTAGCAGTCGCCGTATACAGGCATGTAGTAGTAGTAGTAGTCGTAGTAGTAGTAGTAGTAGAAGTAGTAGTGGTGTTAGTAGAGGTAGTAGTAGAAGAAGTAATAGTAGTAATCATGAGAATAGTAATCATAGTCGGAACATGAATAGTAGCGTAAGCGTGATATTAGTGATAGGAAAAGTCGCAGTCGTAAAGTAGTTGTACAAGGTCGTAGTAGTGGTAGTAGTAGTAGTAGTATGCGTAGTAATATGAATGGTAAAAGTAGTGCTAGTCGCAGTAGTCGTAGCACTCGTCGTGGTTGTAGTACTGATAGCGGTAGCAGTAGCAGTAGTAGTAGTAGTAGTAGTTGTAGTAGCAGTCGTAGTAGTAATAATAGTAGTAGTAGTAGCAGTGATGGTGGTAGTAGTAATAGTAGGTGCTAACAGTAGAGTAGTAGTAGTAGTAGTAGTAGTAGTAGTAGTAGCAGTAGTAGTAGTAGTAGTAATAGTAGGAGTAGTACAAGCGGTAGTAGTAGTGGTATTAGTAGTAGTAGTAATTGTACTACTACTACTACAACTACTACTACTACTACGACTACTTGTACTACTCGTGCTAGTACTACTACTGAAACAACAACAACTACTACTACTAAAACAACTACTACTACTACTACTGCCACTACTACTACTACTACTACTACTACCACTACTACTACTACCACTACCACTACTACTACTACTACTACTACTACTACTACTACTACTACTACTACTACTATGAGTACGAAACTACGAATAGGGTGCGAGCATTCGGAATGATAGTAACAGTCGTAAGGATAATTCGAAAAAATCATAACGACGATGATAACGACCTTGCGGTTGCTCATGATAAACTGAAAGCAAGAAGCTGTAGTAGTGGTATGGGGGAGGAAGACGGGAGGGAGAGAGGAATGACAAGGGGGGGAGAAATGTCGATGGAAAACAATTCCGTACCATCCAAATACTTTTCACCACATCATCTATTGCATGACGAACTTCACATCTACGCGCGGGGAGCTCGTCTCGGAAACTTTGGTAGCCAACCCCAGGAATAGGGGAATAAACTTGAGGGGGTGTGGGGGAGTAGTAACCGTGAGCCCTAAAAGTCGTAGTCG